GAACCTGATCATCGGAAATGGGCGAAGATCGGCTGTTACCAAGATTGTGACTTATATGCTTATGTTTGATAGTGTTAGGGTTGATTTGGATAATTGTTGCTATTCGCCATAAATGGATCGAAACATTATTTATTTTCATGCTTCATTTATACCAAGATATCTTATGGTTTTGATAATAATGATGGTGCTATTTCAATTTATTTTAATGGTGCATTTGTTTTCAAAGTTTATCCTTATGATGGTGTGTATAATACTACTGTTTGTGTGAATGAATTAGGCAACAATGTGTATAGTATTAGTTATTCTAATAGTTTAAACAGGTCATGCCTATGGCATTGTCGTCTTAGACACACTAACAAGAAACACATCGCCCTACTCCAAAAGGATGGAGTGTTGGAGTCGTTTGATCTAAAACCATACAATGAATGCAAGACAGTAGGTTGTAAATGGATCTTCAAGAAGAAGACTGACATGGATGGTAATGTACAGACTTACAAAGCTAGGCTGGTTGCAAAGGGCTTTACTCAAACCCAAGGGATTGACTATGGCGAGACCTTTTCGCTAGTTGCTAAGATTAAGTTAGTTAGAGTAATGCTTTCCATAGTTGTTCACTATGAAAATGAAGTATGGAAAATGGATGTAAAAATTGCTTTCCTTAATAGGAAACTGGCTGAGGATGTTTACATGGCTCAACGAGAAGTTTTTGTACATGCCAAATTCCCCAATAAGGTGTGCAAGCTTGAGAACTCCATCTATGGACTAAAACAAGCATCTCGTAGCTAGAATCTTTGCTTTCATTAAAAGGTCAAATAGTTTGGATTTTCTCGAAGTGAAGATGAGTCTTGCGTGTATGTCAAAGCTAGTGTGAGCACAATACCCTTTCTAGTATTGTATGTGGATGACATACTCCTATTAGGAAACATTGTTCCAACCTTGCAAGAAGTAAAGTATTGGCTTGGGAAATGTTTCACTATGAAGGATCTAAGAGGCTACATATTTTTTTGGAATACGAATCCACACGGACAGGCAGAAACGTTTACTAGGACTTAGTCAGAGTACATAATTGGATAAGATATTAAAAAGATTCATTATGGAATATTCCAAGAAAGGGGACTTACCCATGAATCATACTATTAAATTGAGCAAGGCTCCCCAATAGTGATAAGGAAATAGATCCTATGAGTCGAGTCTCATATGATTTGGCTATAGGATCAATCATGTATGCTATGACATGTACTTGACCTGATGTGGCTTATGCTTTAAGCATGGTTAGCAGATATTAGGGAAATCCTGGTTTAGCTCATTGGAATGTAGTGAAGAGCATTCTTAAGTATTTGCAAAAAAAAAAAGATATGATCTTTGTTTTTTACATACAAGATAAACTTAAGGTGAGTAGATATAGTGACGCCAATTTTCTAATGGATCGAGACAACAGTTATTCTCAATTTGGTTGGGTTTTCCTATTGAATGGTGGAGCAGTAACTTGGAAAAGTTCCAAGCAACAAATGGTGGTTGATTCTACTTGTGAATCATAGCACAACGTAGCAAGCGACGCAGAAAAGGAGGCTATGTGGTTAAAGAATTCTATTTGATATCTTGGAGTTGTTCCATCAATCCAAGAACCAATGGAGATTTTCTATGACAACAAGGGTGCGATATCTTTGACAAAAGAACCAAAAGATCATGGAAGATCTAGGCACATAGAGAGGAAATATAACTACATTAGACATAAGGTTGAAGAATGTGCACTCGTGGTGAATCGCGTATCATTAGAAGAGAATTTTATTGATCCTGTCACAAAGGGTCTAAGCAAGGTCAAGCATTTTGAGCATGCTATGAGCATTGGGTTGAGAGATGATATTATATTTTAGATTTTAGTAGTTGATTACTTTTGAAACATTGTAACAATGATGAATTGTAGTTCGATGGTGATTAATTAAATACAGATTTATTTATATTCACTGTATATGAAACCATTTGTCAATTAATCTATCCTTGTGTTTCATTTTTGCATGTTTTACTCCCTGAATATTAAGTTATTCGAAATCACATTCGATCGTACTGTGGGATTAAGTATTGATTTAAGACTGTCATGAATCATTTGTAGATTGTCCATAGAGACTAGACATTTCATTGGGATTGCTGCAAAATTCAAGAGTACTTAGAAATAGAGATTTTAAGTATTTGTTAAACCTACACTTAGAGATTACTTCATGGATTTAATCACGAATAATTGTAAGACGATAATATCCTCTATTCTTAAAACAGAGATATATGAGTCATGTTTTACGAAATTGTTGTGCATTGGTTTACTCCAACGCTTTTGTAACTATGTGCTATAAAGCGTAATTCCATGTATCACTCGATAAGTAAAATTGCATGATTATATAGTCAAAGTTTATTTATTCCTTTTTCCTTAATAGGAAAATAGATATCTTTGGGCCCCTTGGTGTTTTGATGTTAACATTATAGTGTTGGGATCAGTCGGGACTACATTGATGTGTTTAATTAATAGTCTAATGACGTCGTCACAAAACGAGATTATCGGGAAAAAGAATCTTGGATAATAAGATTGATTCTAATCCTTGTCTCATGTTCATACGATATCGGAAGAGCGAATGAATAGTTGATCACTTATCTTAGGACCAACAGAGTCTGGTAGTGTCTTTGAAAAAACTCTTGACTAGTTATTTGGAGTTGTACTTGCAATTGTAGTTAGCGACTTATCCAAGTGGGAAACTATAGGGTTAAGGTGTCTAAGGTCCTAACTAAATTGGTATAATATTGATAAATAAAAGTAAAGTCATTTTTGGGTTGCTCTCATAACCAAGAAATTGCTTAGATTGATTATTAGATAGAGATAAATGATTTATAAATATATTATACGATTAATATATTAATTAAAAATAGTTATAATTAATTCAGAATTAATTTAGAATTAATTTGGAATTAAATCTTGGTTAATTAGAATTAAAAAGGTTGAAGGAATAAAGCTGTAACTATTCAAAAGTTAAGCAGAGGAGAGGTTCCAGAACCTTCCTCATATAGGGTTCTTGTGTTGTGGGTGTGAACCATTAGAGGCTCGCACACAATTGGATCTTGTTTTCAAAGAGACTCTTTGTAACATCCCAAAAATACAGTCTGAAAATTTCGTTTTAAATCAGTAATAAAACCATAGTCATCATACGTCATAGAAAAACCACAACAATGTATCTCAAAATAATATAACAACTGTCATGTATATCAGAGTATAAACATCCCAGGCTGAACAAATGGTGTGTGCACTGCAATCTTCCCAAGCTCCTCTATTGGAAAACTTAAGCACCTGAAACCAAAACTGAAAACTGTAAGCACAAAGCTTAGTGAGCTCCCCCAAACTACCACATACCATACAATAACATATAAAGCACATACTGGACCTTGCCCACTTCATCGCACCAAAGTCCGGAACTGACCTGGGCCTTGCCCACTGCATCGGACCGAAGTCCGGAACTAACTAGGGCCTTGCCCACTGCATCGGACCAAAGTCCGGAACTGACTAGGGCCATGCCCACTACATCGGACCGAAGTTCGGAGCTAACTAGGGCCTTGCCCACTGCATTGGACCGAAGTCCGGAACTGACTAGGCTCATGCCCACTACATCGGACCGAAGTCCGGAACTAATTGAAAATAGCATAACAAAATCATAACATATAACATAAACACATATACTACATACTGCATCGGACCGCAGCCGGACTAACTTGGGCCTTGCCCACTGCATCGGACCGGAGTCCGGAATAACTGAACATATCATATACATAAACTTGTAGCATAAACATATAACTACTGCATCGGACCAAAGTCTGGAACACCAAGCACTTAACATAAACATGCATGAATCACAAAGACATCAAGCATACATACTACTTCTCGGGACCACCCCGGCATCGGACCGAAGTCCGGAAACATATAAACTGCATCGGGCTAACCCCGGCATCGGACCAAAGTGCGGAACTACTAACATCTAAACGGTCCGGCATTGTGGCCGTATACCCGTTCCTACTGGAAGGAAACTCACCTCACATGCTGAAGTCCCGCTGACAGAACCATAGCTGCTCGATGACAGATTCCCGATCTGTCAATATCAAAATAACACCCAATTAATAATTGGGTTCCAACTCATAACCATAAGTCCATACTTGGGGTAGAAGGCTACTCTACCCCTAACTTGGCTTGATTCAATCCCAAGGCCCAATCCAAAGGCCCAAAAGTCCAACTATGGCTTAAAGCCCAACATATGGCCCAATTTTCCAAATTGGGCCCAAACCTCTACATGAACTTCCCTTAAGGCCCAATTACTCACAATTAGGGTTTTCTAAACCCTAATTAGGGTTTCCACTCAAACATGGCCCAATAGGCCCAAAACTAATCCTTAAGCCCATTAGGGTTTTGCTAGTGGGGCACCACCCACTACCACCTCGGGTAGTGGTGGTCGATGACAGCTCACGGCGGCGGCCACTACCTTACGGTGGCGGTTATTATTATTTTTTCATTATTCCATGCTAATTACAATTACAATGTTTAATCCAAACATAACACACACACACACATACTAACACACTCTAACTAACACACACAGCCACACCATGGTGGCCAGCGGCGGTGCTTGGCGGCAGCCACCACCTCACGGTGGTGGCGGTGGCTTTTCCGTGAACCTCGGCTAAACAAAACATACATAGAATCTCTTAACAACCGGAAACAGAAATAACACATGAACACACACCCATAAATACACCCACAACCACCTCTCACGGTGGCTAGTGGCGGCGGAATAAGGCATAAATGGTAGCCACGGCGGCGGCAGCGAGATAGCGACCACACACACACACCCCTCTCGAGATCCGGAGGCAGCCACCCACCTGGTGGCACTCATCGAATGGTCAGCAACGTCGCTATTGACCGACGGCAGCGGCGGCGCAACAACGGGATAGGATGGCAATCGAGAAGGCAGCAGCGACTAGGAGGGGAAAAGCAGCAGTGTTACGATGGTCCTTACGGCGGCTGGGGCATCGACACGACACAGTAGTCCTTCAAGATGGCAAATCGCTGACCGGAGCAATGGAAACGAGTCTTCCGGAGACGACAACGACAATGTAACAGTAGCGGTGGCAGGAAGCTCGGCGGCACAGCGGTGGACGGTCTCGTAAGAGGGAAACACCATGGTAACCTCAGCACCGGCCTCAGGCCCGTCATCGGAGTCGCATGGAGTTGTCGGCGATCCTACTATGGCCTCACGGAGGCAGTTGCTGGGACGAGGGGGAAATCAGGTGAGGGTGGTGGCTGCATAGGGGGTTTAGGGTTAGGGTTTGGCCGGTGGTGAAGTTTTATACCCGGCTCCTCTAAAAGTTTGCCATAATGTCAAGATCAGCCCTCCCCTTCTCTTTTCTATCAAACCAGGGCCATAACTTACCCTTCCCACCCTTGCTCATGGAATTTCTTTCATATCTAGTCCCACAGTTACAATTCAGCCCCTCCTTACAAATTATTCTTCAAATAAAGTCCATATGTTACCTTTTAAACCCTGGCTTTCAAAACTCTTTACAATGGAGTCCAGAATTACCATTTAGCCCTTGCTTCTCATAATCTATCCTTCTTAAGTCCCGATAATTTACCACGTGCTCCTTCCTTCATAAATAATTTCCAGACTAATCCGGAACTGACACTTTTAATCCCCGACTTCTAAAATTCTTCACAAATTAGTCTGGGACTTACATTTATTAATTCATTCAAATACAGGGCGTTACAACTCTCCCCCACTTAAATTAGATTTCGTCCTCGAAATCATTCCTTACCACTCCTTACACGCCGACTACTCAAGTAACATGGTCATATTCATGGGTACACCCTACCCTTCTCAGGGTAGTTGTGACTAATCATCGCAAAGCCCTAACATCCGCAGGCGAACTAATTCCTCGCAACAAGATCACATCTACTTCATCTGAATTCTGCTGTCTCGACATGGTCTAAATCCCTGACAAACCAATCTTACTGAATCATTATTGCCGAATCCATCCCACTTGTCACTCAGCTGCCTACTCATCCTCTTATAACTCAAGGCTCCCACTAGAAAATAGAATCACAGGTCCACTTATCCCTGTGATTCACTTATACTTGGCCAATGCTCCGATAATCTTGTTGTAGGTGACTTGTCACTCCCCAAATCATTTAGCTATTTTGCCCGTACTCGCAACCCGAAGCACAAATGCTATCACTGCCCCAAACGCTGAAACTGACTGAACACAGAACTGCCTGAAGCAGTATGCTGCTACATACCTGCTTCCCAAAATCTATTGAGAACTTCCTAGTTTCGATTCATCTGTCAGTCATCTGAAATACTGGGTTCCAGTCCGGCTGCGGAGCCAAAGGACTCCCTATTTAGTCGCCTCGCCCGACCTCTGAACAAAATCCTTCTCTGGAGCTAACTGCTACTAGTTATCTTGTCACTATGGCCCTAACGGCCTTCTGATCCAACTGATTGGTTTCATGCGTCCAATCCTGGTGTCACCAAACCCAAGGCTAAAAGTGATTGCTACATGACCATTGGTAGCCTTATGTCATAAATGACCTTAAGCAGTCCACTGCTTCCTTGCTCTCATCTCTATAGTGGCGCTTCTACAATCTTATCTCTGGCTTAACCAGGTCCAATCCGTCTGGGAAATTCCTAAATCCAATCTGTGGATTTCCATATCCTCACTGCTACACCCGAACTGGTGGGTACTACTGTTCTTTCCGCGTCCTAACAACGCACTCACGCTATCTACCAACCTAGTGAATGCTACGGCTACGCCCACAGACTTACTATACTCTATTATTATCCGGCTGCTAGTGAATGTTACGGCTACACCCGCAAACTTACAACACTCTAACACTATCTGACTGCTAGTGAATGCTACGGCTACACCCGCAGACTTACAACACTCTAACACTATCTGGCTGCTAGTGAATGCTACGGCTACACCCGCAAAATTACAACACCCTAACACTATCTATACTGGATCGAACACGCGCTTGACCCGCACTCAGCTGAACTCATGTCCTGACTGGAATCCCCAACCTGATTCCCTAACGCTTGCTAGCAAACATTACGGGAACGCGATCTCCTTATTGGCAAGTTTTTCCGAACTTCCATCTCACACTATCCTCAACCATACAGCCGCTTGAGCTGTCTTCCTTCCAACCAAAGATGCGAAACTTATCCCAGTTTCAAAACTACTTCTACTTCTGAATCCTTGGATGATCTTCCCCCACTTTGATTCAACTAACGTCTTACAGCACACAATACTGGAAGGATTCTCAATCCTTCTTACTAGTCTATGCCCAATCAGCTGAAACAAGGCTTACCATTGCTAGTGTTTCAATACTAGCCAGTCCAAAAGGTCACGCCACCTCCAAGAACCCGAAAAAAAAATCTCCTGTAATAACCCGCTAGACCCAGGAAGCTCCGAATCTCAATTGGAGACCTCGGAATCTCCCACTGCATCACGGCCTCTATCTTGGCCGGATCGACTAGTATACCCTTTTGGTTGACATGGTGCCCAAGGAATTACACCCCGCGCAGCCAGAACTCACAATTAGAGAACCTTGCTAATATCTCTCCCTCTTCAAAGTCTCTAGCACCTCCCTCGGGTGCTTCTCGTGATGCTCCTCAGTCTTGGAATAAACCAAGATGACGTTGTACTCTCCCAATCCTGCAATTTGGGAAATGCTCTATCACTATTCGCTAATGCTTCTCGGTATGCAATTGGCATATGACATCTCTTGAAAATATAATTCAGACACAAACCAAGGATAACTCAGGGCTACACTTATTCAAACCCTTGAAACGAAAGACTCCATCATGCAGTTTCCCGCATGTGCTGTACTGAATCTAACCTTGCTGGTCCCTCAAAAGCTGATCCGAAATCTAGGGTCTTCTCCCGGGACACCTCAATATAAGCAACTGATCTAATTCCCTCTTACCAATGTGCTCCAAGTCCATATCTCGTTCTCAGGATCACGAAGTCGTATCATTCAGGGTCTTGCACCCCGAGATACTCATGATCTCCCTGCTATCATTCTACAGTATGTTCTGATAACATACCTTCTTCATTTCCTTATCTGCTACATACTGTGGTACCATATAAGCTCTTTCCTGAGACTTGGCAGTGATCTCTGCCACAGTCTCAGTCGTCCGGTGGAGATCTAACAAATCTTGCGCCAACTACTGCGCCTCAATCGCCTGGGCACACTCTGCCCAGAATCTAGTCTAAAAGTCATCCCATGACATAGCATTAACTGCATCATCACTCAACTCACTACTAACTTCTTCCAATCAATCTCGTGCTCTATCCCTCAGGAGACAGGAAGTAAGTCAGATCTTGTCTCCTTTCGAGACAACGTCTGGTACGAAAAGTGTTGGTGACATCTGCCAACCATCTGCTGCTAACAATGGGGTCCCTAACCCCCATGACAATCTGAAGCCTCACAAACTATGAATTCCCGAAACATCAACGTACGAGTCTCTATCATGACTGTTATCTCAGTGCAGAATGCACTCGGCCTCTCATCACAAATCTCTATAATGCCCTCCTTGATCACATTGAGGATCACAGGAGTCTGGTCAATGATACTATGCGTAATTCTCAGATGGAATGAACTCCCTCATCTGATCATCAATCTGCCCGGCTCCAGAGTCCGAGTCTGATCCCTCGTCGACACCAGAACTACCATCTGGTCTACCACGTAGCGCCACTATACTCGGCAACATACCATCACTAACATCACAATACTTATCCAACTCGAGGTATCTCACACACTACAAGTTCCCTGGGTTCATCTCAGCCTTCCTTGATTCGAGTACGGATCCTCTGCTTTCAGTAGTACGGGCCCATACTACCTTCCACATCTATCCGTACTTTCCTCAAGTACTGCCTCGACTCCACCAAGTCCCTTCTACTACTACTGTTGATCTCATGCTAATCTCATCCTAGGCTTGCCCTAGGGTAATCACCAACCCACTCTCCGCCATCAGCTGCATAAGAAGTCCCTGCTTTATTCCCCTAACTAGCTCGCGAATACTATTACATATTACTCAGACTAGATAATTCTTCAAATGAGAGATCCTACCCTACAACGGTTGGACTCAAACAAGAGCTGAGAAATAGAGCTAGACCTAACCTTCTGAAATTATTTAGTCCTTGCAATATGTAGTTTAACATATTCATTTACTAGTTAGTGAAAGATAACTAGAACTCCTAAAAGCACAAAGCAAGCAGCATTCGGGCGTTGAGTACACATAATCAAGCATATACTACTCAGGCTATCATACTGACTAATCTGTACTAGCATGCAGTTCTCGATAAGCTGTACACATATAACAGGCACATAAGGCATCCTTCCTAGATCCTTAGCCCTAAACTAGCATGCAGTTCTCATAAAGCTGATACACATACAATAGGCACATAACTCATCCTTCCTAGATCCTTAGCCCTAAACTAGCATGCAGTTCTCATAAAGCTGATACTCATATCATAACATGAACTTGTATGGGTAATTTGGGAGTACTTACTTGAGCTCGGCTGATTGCATGCACCACACCCTTTTCTCTTTTTCAAAATTCTTTTCGCTTTTTATAAGACTCTTTTCTTTATACTTTTTCTAAAATTGTTTTCTTTTCTCAAAATCCCTTTGTAAACATGGTTTTTCTTTTAAAAACTTTATACCACTTCCTTAGTTTGAGTTCAGACACACCCAAAAGTGTACCCGAATCCCTCAAACCAAGGCTCTGATACCAACTTGTAACATCCCAAAAATACAGTCTGAAAATTTCGTTTTAAATCAGTAATAAAACCATAGTCATCATACGTCATAGAAAAACCACAACAATGTATCTCAGAATAATATAACAACTGTCATGTATATCAGAGTATAAACATCCCAGGCTGAACAAATGGTGTGTGCACTGCAATCTTCCTGAGCTCCTCTATTGGAAAACTTAAGCACCAGAAACCAAAACTGAAAACTGTAAGCACAAAGCTTAGTGAGCTCCCCCAAACTACCACATACCATACAATAACATATAAATCACATACTGGGCCTTGCCCACTGCATCGGACCAAAGTCTAGAACCGACCTGGGCCTTGCCCACTGCATCGGACCGAAGTCCGGAACTAACTAGGGCCTTGCCCACTGCATCGGACCGAAGTCTGGAACTGACTAGGGTCATGCCCACTGCATCGGACCGAAGTCCGGAACTAACTAGGGCCTTGCCCACTGCATTGCACCGAAGTCCGGAACTGACTAGGGCCATGCCCACTGCATCGGACCGGAGTCCGGAACTAACTGAAAATAGCATAACAAAATCATAACATATAACATAAACACATATACTACATACTGCATCAGACCGCAGCCGGACTAACTTGGGCCTTGCCCACTGCATCGGACCGGAGTCCGGAATAACTGAACATATCATATACATAAACTTATAGCATAAACATATAACTACTGCATCGGACCAAAGTCCAGAACACCAGGAACTTAACATAAACATGCATGAATCACAAAGACATCAAGCATACGTACTACTTCTCGGGACCACCCCGGCATCGGACTGAAGTCCGGAAACATATAAACTGCATCGGGCTAACCCCGGCATCGGACCAAAGTCCGGAACTACTAACATCTAAACGGGCAGGCATTGTGGCCGTAGACCCGTTCCTACTGGAAGGAAACTCACCTCACATGCTGAAGTCCCGCTGACAGAACCATAGATTCTCGATGACAGATTCTCGATCTGTCAATATCAAAATAACACCCAATTAATAATTGGGTTCCAACTCATAACCATAAGTCCATACTTGGGGTAGAAGACTACTCTACCCCTAACTTGGGTTGGTTCAAGCCTAAGGCCCAATCCAAACGCCCAAAAGTCCAACTATGGCTTAAAGCCCAACATATGGCCCAATTTTCCAAATTGGGCCCAAACCTCTACATGGACTTCCCTTAAGGCCCAATTACTCACAATTAGGGTTTTCTAAACCCTAATTAGGGTTTCCACTCAAACATGGCCCAATAGGCCCAAAACTAATCCTTAAGCCCATTAGGGTTTTGCTAGTGGGGCATCACCCACTACCACCTCGGGTAGTGGCGGTGAATGACGGCTCACGGCGGCGGCCACCACCTTACGGTGGCGGTTATTATTATTTTTTCATTATTCCATGCTAATTGCAATTACAATGTTTAATCCAAACATAACACACACATACTAAGACACTCTAACTAACACACACAGCCACACCATGGTGGCCGGCGGCGGTGCTTGGCGGCAGCCACCACCTCACGGTGGTGGCGGTGGCTTTTCCGTGAACCTCGGCTAAACAAAACACACATACAATCTCCTAACAACCGAAAACAGAAATAACACATGAACACACACCCATAAATACACCCATAACCACCTCTCACGGTGGCTAGTGGCGGCGGAATAAGGCAGAAATAGTAGCCACGGCGGCGGCAACGAGATAGCGACCACACACACACACCCCTCTCAGGATCCGGAGGCAGCCACCCACCTGGTGGCACTCATCGAACGGCAGCAACGTCGCTATTGACCGACGGCGGCGACGGCGCAACAACGGGATAGGATAGCAATCATGAAGGCAGCAGCGACTCGGAGGGGAAAAGCAGCAGCGTTACGACGGTCCTTACGGCGGCTAGGGCATCAACACGACACAGTAGTCCTTCGAGATGGCAAATCGCTGACCAGAGCAATGGAAATGAGTCCTCCGGCGACGACAGCGACAATGTAACAGTAGCGGCGGCAGAAAGCTCGGCGGCACAACGGTGGACGGTCTCGGAAGAGGGAAACACCATGGTAACCTCGGCATCGGCCTCAGGCCCGTCATCGGAGTCGCATGGAGTCGCCGGCGATCCTACTATGGCCTCACGGAGGCAGTTGCTGGGAAGAGGGGGAAATCAGGTGAGGGTGGCGGCTGCATAGGGGGTTTAGGGTTAGGGTTTGGCCGGTGGTGAAGTTTTATACCCGGCTCCTCTAAAAGTTTGCCATAATGTCAATATCAGCCCTCCCTTTCTCTTTTCTTTCAAACCAGGGCCATAACTTACCCTTCCCACCCTTGCTCATTGAATTTCTTTCATATCTAGTCCCACAGTTACAATTCATCCCCTCCCTACAAATTATTCTTCAAATAAAGTCCATATGTTACCTTTTAAACCCTGGCTTTCTAAACTCTTTACAATGGAGTCCAGAATTACCATTTAGCCCTTGCTTCTCATAATCTATCCTTCTTAAGTCCCGATAATTTACCACGTGCTCCTTCCTTTATAAATAATTTCCAGACTAATCCGGAACTGATACTTTTGTTGGATTAGTGTCTAAGGCTGTAACTATATTTGGTAAGTACTTGACCCGGTTGTGCATGGTCCTTTTGGGTTGCCTTCACCATAACAACTTGACAGGGTGATTTATAAAGAGAGAAGTGATATTATTATATTAATATATTTTGAGAATAATATATTAAAAGAATAATAATATTATTTGATTAATATTAGTCATGGATTAATTAAGAATTAAATGACTAAAAGAGGTTAATTGAATAAAGGGGCATAAACTGTCAAATGTATGATAGTTGAGTTTTGGGCTATGAATCCTTATAGATTATAGGGTAGCCGAATTTAGGGTTATGGACACCTTGAATTCGTTCAATCCTTGATCTAGAAGGATCTTTGGATTGCTTAGGGCCTAAGTTATTCAATTAGGGTTAAGGATGTAACCCTAGTAGCTCATAGTATAAATAGACCCCATGGGTGAGGGAAATCGGCCACTCTTGTTAGATTGAAACCCTAGAGCCGATTTTCTCATCCCTCCTCTCTCTCCAAATGATCCTCTTGCTAGTTGGTGTTTGTAAGCCATTAGAGGAGTGACAATTGTGACTCTAGGCTCCAAGAACAAGAAGATTCAAGCAAGCAACTTAAGGTATTCTTCTAGATCTGATTTCATATGTTATGATTCAATTGTTTACACTAGATCTAGCATTATAAGCCTTGGAAACATTGCATGTTCAATTAGAGAAACCTAGATCCAAGCATTAGGGTTTGCATGTGCACATAGGAAAGTTCTTATGGCTCAAACCCATCAGTGGTATCAGAGCTTTGATTGATTTCTATTGAATTGATGCTTTGATTGATTGCTTTTTACATGAAAAATCATTTTTTTGTGCCCCTGACTGAAGAACTCGGCGAGTCCCATTGTGGACTCGACGAGTAGGCTGAACTCGGCGAGTCCATAATGGGACTCGGCGAGTTCGAGCGTCAGTTTGAGCAGATTTCGGGATTTCTTGTTGTTTTGCTTGAGGATACTTGCCTTAATTGTCTTGGGTCATTAAAATCCGAATTTTATCATATATTTGAGTATATCTTTGACCAAACAAAAGATAATTACCATTTGATTGAATAATAATTTCCTTATATGATAATAATTGATTATTTGAATTAAATTGGTAAATTGTCTTGCAAGTAATATTGACTAGGTCAAATTTAGATAATCATTAAATTAATTAGTTGATTTATATTATTTGCTATTTGATCCTTTATGTTTTGAAAAGTTCAAAACTTGTCCTCAAGTTTTGAAATTTAAGTTTTGTGATTAAAAGTTTAATTTGAATAATTTAAATTTCAAACCTTAGAATTTTACAAGTTTTAAAATTCAACCCTATACTTATAATATTATAAGATTAATATATATATGTATAACTTAAATCCTAGTCTTACCGTTAGTAGGGCTCATTCACGAAGCCAATTTATAAGGGGGGTATAAGGTTATGGCCTATAAAATGGCCGTTTAATGGGTGTCCATTCTCACCCACCGCTTCCTTGATTGGTGGAGGGTCGTTAGCCGAACGGGTAGGATCGGGCAAACCTTTCCTCATTAAAAGTATAATGAATCTATATAAAGTAACTAAATGTTTTTCAAAAAATTCCCAATGTTAGTTACTTTAGGCAAAAGTGAATTGATGCAATCCCATGAAATTACACTTTGTACCCTTGCTAAGACATTAATGGAGCGTGTGTGGTTAACCGGCACATTAATTGGGTTCTAAGCAAAGGTGGCAAAGGGTGACTCATTGTTTGTTATAGTTCGATGGAGCGTGTGTGGCTAACCAGCACATCGAATAGGTAACTGTAACAATAAGGGCACCATGTACATTTGCATGGTTATTCACACCCACTTTGTGATCCTCGGCATCCCAGTCACAAACGAGAGGGGCATATCGAGATTTAAACATGCCATTGAAAAGTTCAATGTATCTCAAAAGATCTAGGAGTTTTTCAATACATTTAAAACCTAATTTCTTTTTCGTTTTTCATGGTGGAGAATTAGTGAATCGACATTCACTTGCCTTCAAATTATTTACTTATTAGATTACAGCATTCCTCTTCTAATTTGTGAATAATGTTGTTGGTTCCTAGCCCTAATTTTTCATTTGGGTGATTAATTTGGGAAATTCATTTTTTAATCAAACTTTGTTCCTTTTTCCTTTTCAGATGTTGAACGCAAACAACAACGCTTCTGGGTCAAACTCCTCTGGTTCATTCTCACTCATGAACTTGTGTGGGAAAGTGATCTTCGATGGGACCAATTTCAGTAATTGGATCTGTAACATTCGTATGGTCACTCACTACGAGGACAAAGAATATGTCCTCGACGAGAAGCTTAAGGAGATTGATATCGAAACTGCTAGCCGATGAGATCGCGGCCTACGAGGCCCACGAGCGTGATGCCACGAAAGTCCATTGCATCATGCTCGCGACTATGACTGTTGAACTTCAAAAGTCCTATGAGGACAAGTACCCCTACGAGATGCATCAGGATCTGCTGGAACGCTACCACCAGAGCGCCAGGCAAGAGAGGTATGAGATCATCACTTCGATGATCACTACCAAAATGGGAAATGGAGAGTCTCTTACTGCCCATCTGCAAAAGATGCAGAGATATGTTGATCGCCTTCTGAAGTTGAATGTGAACTTCGATGAAGAGCCAGCAATTGACATTATCCTTCACTCATTGCCTTCCTGCTATAGCCAGTTCCACATGACCTACCACATGAATAAGGAAGAGGTCTCCTTGAGCAAGCTTCAGGGCTTGTTGAGGACTGCTGAGAGCAACCTCAAGGATAAATCTGTTGCATCACCTCCCACTCCAGCTGCTGCCCCTGTCTTGGCAATAGGGCAAGGGAAGGGTAAGAAGAGGAAGGCCTCCTCAAGGGCCCACCACAAGGGAAAGTCCCAAGATGGCACCTCTTCTAGTGGAACCAAAGTTGGTTCTGCTAAACCCAACTCGAACCCCAAAGAGGCAGAGTGCCACTACTGCCACAAGATAGGGCATTGGAAAAGAAGCTGCCCAGAATATCTGCAAGCCATCAAGGATGGGAAGATCAAGCCATCTTTCGCAGGTATTTACACAATTAAATCTAACAGTTTGTCACATGCTACTTCTTGGGTTCTTGATACAGGATGTGGTTTTCACATATGTTCTGATTTGCAGGGACTAAAAGGAAATAGGGATGTGGAGCGTGGAAGGATGAATCTGATCATGGGAAACAGAAGATCGTCGCATGTGACCAAGATTGGAGTTTATTCCTTAGTGCTTAGTAATGGCTTAGATTTAAATTTGAGTAATTGTTGCTATTCGCCAGATATGGCTAGAAACATCATTTCATTTCATGGTTTATATAAACAAGGCTTTAGATATTCATTTGATAATGAAAAGGGTTCTATTTATGCTTATTTTAATGATGTTTTATATTTTGAAGCATTGCCTTGTAATGGAATATATGAAACTGTGATGGTTGTAGACAACTTAGGAAATGATGTGTTGTGTATGGATTCTTCCAATAGTATGGATAAAGCTTGCTTGTGGCATTGTCGTCTTGGACATGTCAACAAGAAACGCATAGCCCGACTCCAAAAGGATGGAGTGTTGGAGTCATTCGACCTTAGGGACGATGACGTGTGCGAGTCTTGTTTACTTGGAAAGATGACCAAGTCACCCTTCACTGGCGCTTGTGTGAGGGGTGAGGGTTTATTGGATCTCATACATACAGATGTATGTGGACCCTTTAGATCCACCACAAGGGACGCGAATTGCTTCAATGTGACTTTAAAAGATGATTATAGCAGATATGGGTGTATCTACTTAATCAAGCACAAGTCAGAAACATTTGAAAAGTTCAAAGAGTTTAAACAAGAAGTGGAGAATCAGTTGGGCAGGAAAATCAAGATGCTTCGATCTGATCGAGGTGGAGAGTACCTAAGTCTTGAATTCCACGACTACCTCAAGGAATGTGGAATAGTTTACAATTGACGCCACCTAGGACACCACAATTGAATGGTGTAGCTGAGAGGTGTAATCGAACCTTGCTAGACATGGTTCGTTCCAAGATGAGTCATGCTTCACTACCTATCTCATTCTGGGGGTATGCCTTAGAGACTGCCGCCCATATCCTTAACTTAGTGCCTATGAAGAAGGTTGCCAAAACACCTCACGATATGTGGACAGGGAAAGCTCCCTCGTTAGCACATATCAAGGTTTGGGGTTGCGAGGTTTTCGTAAGACGAGAAACTCACGACAAGCTCGAACCTTGTAGTGAGAGATGTATTTTCATCGGCTACCCACAGAAATCCTTTGGATATCTCTTCTACAGACCGAGTGACAACGTTGTCTTCGTTGCGAGGAGAGGGGTTTTCCTAGAGTGAGAACTCATAAGCCAAGGAGACAGTGGGAGGCAGATCGATCTTGAAGAGCTTCAAGAGTCGATCGATGAAGGAACCTCTAACACTGGCGCTCAACCCGAGGA